AATAAAATGGTTTCATTCCAGAAAACTCCCTACACACACACCCCTGACCCACTAGAAATGGAGCTTCCAGATGTTCAGCTTCCATTAATGGCAAGGTATTGGATGATAAGCCACACATGTAGTTTTGGGCAGGAGCATCTCCACCTGACATAGCAGATATGTTTGTATTAGAAGTTGCCCTGAGCACCATTCATAGGCTGCCTCCGGCCCCTGCTCCTGGACCCTGCTCCCATCCATAATCATATGCCTTCCCCCCTCTTCCTGATCTCATCCCCTCCATCAAGGTCCAGCTCACAATTGGCTTTATGGATCCTCCCTGACCATTCCTTCCTCCAGGATGACACCAACCTTCTCCCATATCTGCTCCTGACCATCAACTCTGCTTTTCAGAGCTCTAAGGGTCCACTGGGAAGAATGTAAAGGGGAAGCTACGGAAAAAAACCCAGGCCTCTACAACTACATTGTCTGTTTCTCTCTGTTCTATGCATTTTGTTCTTGTTTATAATTTTACTTAAAATATTTGAAACCTTTACCTAAAACTCATATAAGTCTGTGTTCTCTATCTATCCCTATTCGGTGTTCTTAAAAGGATTTGGGTATTTGTAAAGCTATGTCCTATACAATAAATAAAAATAAGACAATGAAACTGAGGAAAAGAGAAAAATAGGCATAAAAAATGAGATGAAGCCATGGGTAATATTTGAGGAAAAAAACTCATGCTGTGACCAGTTTTTATAGGTAAACACAGCCATTTGTCCCTGACCTTCCTGGTACCCAAAGCAAAAAAAAAAAACCAGCATGGAATTAGACTGAAAACTACAAATGAGGATGAGCTCTGTCTGTCCTATTTACCACTGTATCCTCAGTTTTTAATATAGTGTCTAGAACATAAGTGGTTGATAATTCTTTTGAATACGTTGAATAAGGCAACTTTCTGTTCAGGAGAAACAACCATTTCTCAGACCTTAGAATAGTTTATAGTATAGATCCTCATTAAGAGGGCAGTGAGGGTTGTGAATTTTAATAAAATTCTTAGTAAGTAACTATCTTCCCTCCCCATGTAGAGTTGCAGGACCTGGGGACAGAGGTATCATCTTACACATTATGTCTTGCATAGTGCCTCCTCGAATGTTCTGTCCAGCAGGAACCCTGGGAATGCTTATAAATTAATTAACTGTCCCATGAGGACATACCAGCCTGACCTTTCCCGGGCTTTCAAGGCAACCTTTGCTTCCCTCGACATCTATCAAACACTTATCGAAACATGCTGCTTCATGTCAGCATCAGTTAATAGATGTGTTACTGCTGTTGAGCACTGCCTGGGACCCTTGAGCACAGGCTCTTTCTCTTATATGTTTTCTTACCTTACTATGAGCTGGAGCACATAGTATACCCTCAGTAAAAGCCTATGTAACTCAACTGAGCCTCTACCCAATTGGTGTGGCAGTCTGAGCCCACAGACCAATTCCCTGGGAGTTACAGGGAATTACTGCTGAGCACCAGCCAAATTCCTAAGACCCCTTGATGGAAGAAACCTATGATGCAGCATCCCCAGGTGACCAGCCTGCCTTGTAATCTTCACATGAGAATGAGGGACTGACCAGCAGGCAATGCACTGGGCTTCCTCTCAGGTCCACATCTGGAGCTTGCAGTAGGCGCCAATCCCTGCCTTTGTTGTAAGTGATGTATGTCTTCACCTGGTCATCCACCTTCTTGTTTGCCAGGAATATCCCTTTGATACCTGCTACCTAGGAAAAAAGGTGAGAGATGGAGAACCATGCTGGGCCAAAATGCATAGTCTTGCAGAAGCCCTGGGAGAAGTCCCAGCATTTTCCATGGGTTGTTGGGAGTACAAAAAAGGAGAGGAGGAACATGGTGAGAAATGCCATATGCCATGTGGTCTCTGAAAGAAGTTTCAGAAGTTTGTCTCTGTACCCCACACCTCCCCTGCGAGATGTCCCACCTCTTCCCCATCTGCTTTTTCCCCCTTTACATGTCTCTGTGCTCTGTTTCATAGGACCTCATCTTTCATTAACTATTAACATTCCCTCTGAGGTGGGAGTGGTTGATAACAATCGAAAGAGTTACCCCTTCCAGAGAACATATGTGTTAGCTCAGGAGGGGCTTGTAGATGGGTTTTTGAGGCATCAAGAAATAATCCTTAATGACAGAAGTCCAGGCATCCAAATTATAGTAAGGTAGATATTTTGGGGCAGATGACCCAGTATGGAGACCTGGCATCCATCTCTTTCTACACCACTAGCTCACTGTGTGACCTTGGATAACTCACGTATCAACTCTGGGTCTCAACCAATGGTCCTTCGCAATTGGTAGAATAAGCCCTGCTCCTCTTTTCTTCCCCAGTTGACTGGCAAAGGATTCATGAGGTAACGCAGAGCCTCTCACCAGAGTTCCTGACATATGGAGATTTGCATGCTCTTGATACTTTGAAGGGAAGAGAGCATCACCATGAAAAGTGGCTAGAAGATTCAAGGAGATTTATCACTCAAAAAGATTCTAGGGTCAGTCCAAATTTGACTCAAATTTTCATTCTATCTATTCTATATGCTGGGAAAGGAGAACGGATATTTAGAATGACAGAGTCCTGAGTCAAAGAAAAATTCCCTTAACTCTCTTTAGAAGTTCCAGCATGTTCCAAAGCCAAAAGTAATTCAAATCGTTTAAATATATATACACAGAAGGTTAAATGCCAGGTTCTTCTGGATAATACTCAGATATGTCAAAGCTTTCATTGTATTTATCTCCCATTCTTCTAAGATCATGGTTAACCGAGAGATGACAGGTTTATTGCAGTTCTGAGAGAATATCCGTGAGAGAAAAGAGAAAGAGTTTAACAGAAGAGAGCTTCTTTGCTTTTTTTTCCCACCTAAATGACATAATTTAGTTGAAATAAAGAATTTTTGTTTTTGTTGTTGTTGCTGTTGTTTTTCAGTAACCTGACCGGCCTTGAAAGAGAATGCCAACCCAAATAAAAGCAAAAACAACGTGGACTGAGAATGTCAGGAGGAGAATAGAATTATCTGGGAAGGACACCACCAGGGGTATTTGACAAATGAGGACAATGGAATTGATTAGATTCCTACCTTGAATAGAAGGTAGGTAAGGAGAGAGGCTGGGGGTGGGGAGGGGGACAGCAGTGTCAGCATGATGCCCTTCCCCAGTGGTACCCTTCCTGCCTTAACAGCTCACAGTCAGTGCCATTTCAGGGAGGTTGCTATCTCATATGCTTATCTAGGGCCTATAAGACCCCCAGATCACCTAGATCTTTAAAACCACTGCAAAACTGTTCCTCTTAAATCTTATTGACAATCATTCTTCACAGAGAACCTAATCCGGGTTTTTCTAAAACCTTCTTCATGGTGGAGGCCTTTCAACATTCTCTTTGGCCACAGAGCTGGTGCCTTTTCTGCTGGGTAACCAGATGATTCCAGAAAACTCTCTCTCCTAAACAAGTTGCCCCTCTCTAACATATCTACTTCCTGGAAGAAAATACAGAGGTTAGACTCAGCCTCCTGGGCCCAAGACCCATTGCTCTTGTGAGACTCCTGCCACCCCCTGCCCTGCCTCCTAGCTCGATGCATTACAGCATGAATTACCGTCCATACAGCCACCCCATGTGCTCTTCCCATGAACATGTTCAGCACATGGAGCAGTCATTACCATATTTTCCCACTGACAGCGCCACCACTCGCGCGCCACCACTCGGATGGGCATTTTCTGTGTGTCCCACATATTCTAAGAGCAAAATCAGGGGAACAGGGACTGAGTAGATGTAGGAAGGAGAAATTTCCAGGGAACCCACGGGCAGCTCTGAAGTTGTTTCTCCTGCAGTTGTACATAATAACACAGAAATCTCCCTCCTATCTGAAAGAACCAGAGCACTTCCTCTTCCTATTTGGATAGTTCAAAGTGCTTATGTTATTACTAAATTGCTTCTTGGTTCCATGTATTATAAAAATGGACTATAAATTTGGAGGGCTTTTGCTTTTGTGTACCCTACACCATCACCTTTCAAACTTTTTGACTGCACCCAAGTAAGAAATACATTTGTGTTGCAACCTAGAAGACTCATACCCATAATGGATGTATGTGTACACATGTATGTACACATATATTTCTGACACAATAGTACCAAGAAATGCTACTTACCCTCACTGCATGCAATTTAATGGAATTGGAGAATGAGACACATTTGAGCTCTTCTTCATCTAAGGGGCACTTAGCACGTAATAAACTTTCAATATGCTTCCTCTCACTGCTTGAAATCAGAAGTATGTCTGCTGCTGATGGTCCTAGCAGTCCAGGAAGAAGGATACCATCTTGAGATGGTGCCCACAGAAGAGCGGAGTACAAGGTGTCAAGCCTTAGGGCCACTTTCCCTCTGGGAATCAATTTGGGGTACAGAGGGACACCGGCAGCAGGCCATTGGCAGAGCACTGAGTCCAGGTGGCATAGTCATCTGCCAGTCACCTCCCTGGGACTTCAGGACAAAGAAGCCAGGGCTCTGCTGAGAAAAGCAATTACTGTGATCTGCCTTGGGCTGTCTCTAAACTGGACCTGTGGTGAGGGGCCGAAGAAGGTCAGTTCAGGGAAAATGTCCCTGTGGAGTCTATAAGCAGCTGTCCATCTGGCCCAAGAATGTTCAGTGAAGGTCATGATAAAGCAGAGGGTAGAGGGCAGGCACTGAGACATGAAAGGCAGGAAGCATCAGTAAGATGGACAAAGATACCAGAACACTGAGGCCGGCTGTGAGCTTCATTTTATCTCTCCAGGTATGGTGGGGTTTACATAATCAGTCACCAGAGAAATACAAATTAAACCCACAATGAGGTACCACTAGGTCTCTATCAGAATGACCAAACACATACCCACACACACACATGCACACACAATCAAACAAAACTGATGGTACCCAGTGTTGGTGAAGATATGAGGCAACTGTAACTCTCATCCTTTGCTGTGGGGGGGGGGGAATGCAAGATGGCACTGCCACTTTACAGACAGTTTGATGGTTTCTTGTAAACATACTCACATACTTACATTTAATCTAGCAATCCTACTCCTAGGCATTTACCCATGAAAATAAAAATACCTGTTCATGCAAATGTTTATAGAAGTTTTATTCATAATCACACAAGACTGGAAACAATCTAAATGTTCTTCAATTGGTGAAGGAATAACAAAGGCACATGGTAGAATACTACGCAGCAATAAACAGGAGCATCTACTGACACACTCAGCAACATGGGAGAATCTCAAATGCATCCTTCAAAGTGGAAAAACGCCAGACTCAGAAGGCTGCCTACTGTCTAATTCCACTCACTGGCACTCTAGAAAAGGCAAAATTGGTGACAAAGAGAAGTCAAATTGGTGTTTGTCAGTGACTATGGATGCAAGGAGAGTTGACTATAAAAGGGCCATAAGAGGGAATGTTTTGGGTAATGGAACATTCTATGTCTCGATTGTGGTGTCAGTTACACAACTGTACGTACCTATCAAAACTCATAGAACTGCACACCAAAAAAGGGCCAGTTTTACTATACAGCAATTATACCTTGACAACAAAAAAATAAACGTGAAAAAAATACATAGTGGAAGAGCCCATGTTTTTAGTCAGACAGACATGGATTCCTTCAAATGCAGCATCATTAGCTACGTAATGTGAGCCAAGCCACTAAATTCTCTGCATCTCTATTATCTCATAGGCACAATGGGAATGATATTTGCCACAAAGAGATTTGTGAATGATAAATTTTTAAAAAGTAAATTGTTTAGGACTGTACAATCCAATACGGTAAACACTAGGCATATATGGCTACTTGAAATGTAGCTAGTGAGACTAAAAAACTGATTTTTACTTTTAGTTATTTTTAACCAATATAAACTTAAATTTAAAAACTGATACTCGATTTGGTTATTGGCAAACTTTTAAGTATGTTTGGAATAACTGACATATGTGAATCTCCTTTTCCTACTGTAAATTTTACAACATGTAAATACTCATCCAGTATTTCTGGGAAAATTGAGTATATGAATTGATATGCCTGGGAAGCGTAAAATACAGGATTTTGCAGACTTAGTGTGAAAAAAATATAAAATACCTCATTAGTAATTTCCCATATCGAGCATATACTAAAATAATATTTTACATACCTTGAATAAAATATATCATCATAATTAATTTCACCTGTTTATTTTTTTACGTTTTAAAATGCAGGTAGTAAAAATTTCAAAGTGTAGATGTAGCTCACATTATATATTTGACAGTGCTCGTCTAAGGCATTGCCTGGTGTGCTGTTATTATTATTATTATTATTATAAGGAGTTATAAATTGGATACTTCATATCCAAGAAAGCATTGGAGAAAATGCATCAGACCGGCAGCTCAGAGCATGTTTCCATAGTATAACGGTGAAGTGCAGGAAAGAATATTTGTTTCTTGACTTATCAGTGGAGAGTAACTAAAAAGAAATGTAGTTTACAATTAGGAATGCAAAGAAACCACAACAGAGCTCTATATGAAAAGTGTCTGGAGAATAACGGTAAGCACACACAAAGGACTGCATTCACCGTCAACACCAGCCTTGTTTGCAGGAGTTGGGATTCTGAAAGCTTAAAGAGGAGATCGATTATTATTTGGCCTACAAGTGTTATTTTCTCTCCTTAATTACGTAATTACAGCAGTGACAATATTGTACTTTGAGGCAGGGATTAGAGGAAAATAAGC